ACACCCAAACTTTAATGTTCGATATCAACAGTAGTTGTGTCAAATTATGACTTGGCATTAATTTGTTTAACAAAAAAACAAACTCTCCTTATTTTACAGCTCTAAACTATAGTAATTTCTTTACCCTATACATACATATATCTAAATACTTTGATCCAATCGTTTGCCTTTTTAAGATTAAAATATTCAATACTGTTAAAAACTGAACTTGATATAGTTTTCAAATGCTCGACATTACAAAATGGTCTGAACAGTAAAAGCACATGGCTGATCTAATTAGACATATGATTTGTTAACACGGTTTTCTAGAGTAAAATAAAACAACAATCATATGTTAAGATAATGTTTATGTACAATAAAAAATGTTTAGTTTCAGATTACCCATTATACAAACTATCACGACGCTTCTCTTACATTTGAAAGCAGGTTTTGGCACGGAAAATTTACGTATCCTTATCTTTTCAACATCATCTACATTATCAAAATTAATAAAATGTTGACATGCTTTAAAAATAACTGTTGTCTTAAATAAACAGAGGACGGTACAGTAACACATCTATCACAACCTAAACTACATTTATTCAAATATTGTGACAGAATGAACGTTTTCTATTTTCTAACAAAACATGATTATATCTCCCAATCTCAACATTGATTGGGGCTGTACCGCTACGAAACTTTGCAAGTGCACCTCTATGTGATCGATTTAATACTTTATTACAATATGGCTCCACATGAAAAGAAGTTTGGAATAATAGGTAGAACCTTAATTTATTTCTACCATTTCCTCTCCGGGCATTAACACGATGTATCTAAGCGTTCATTTTGAAGTTACAACTCCTACATTAACTTTCCATTAGGATTGAGTTGCAATATTTCACACAAGTTTATTTTTATGTTTTGTAGGCTTTTCACGCACTAACTAGCCAGACAAACTCTAATATCTGCCTACATTTACCATAAGATGTTCCACGCATAGTAACATTGTTTTGAACTATTAGCTTTCTAACAAGCAAAATAACAAAATGGCAAGAAAGAATTTTAACATTTAGTAAAATATTGTAATAACAAATAACAAAATAACATCAAAGAAACAAATCATCTGAGTTTTATGAGTAAAGAAAGTCAAATAAATTTATGTCTTTATGATGAAGTAACATGTAAAGACAATAAGTGTAAACGCTTTTTAAATGATATTTAAAATAAAGACACATTATAAAAAGATAAACCTGAGCCGAAACATATCTATTTAAAATAAAAAGAGTAAACATTTTTCATTGCTGCCAAAATTATAATGAAGTTTGTCACTTGAAGTACCACTTTCAATTAACAAATGAAGGAGAACGAAGGACAAACTAATGATTTAAACATATTAAATGGTTCTATTTGTTTAAACTTTAACACATGACACAACATGCGTTTCGCTGTTTTGAATTTTTAACAATTTAAGTGATTAAGACCTGCAAGAGTATTAGTGTCTTCCGAGTTTAAATCCTTCAAACTTCGTCATATTCCACAGTAACAAAACATTGTTAAATCAATGATTTACAAGTAAGAAGGATAGTTTTTTGTAAAAAAATGTGGTTGAAAACAATCATTGTGGTACAGCTCCTACAATAACTTTCCATTTGGGTGGAGTTGCAATATTTTATTTAAGTTAATTTTTATGTTTTGAAAGCTTTCCACGTACTAACTAGATATATATACCCAGATGTACAAAAAATGGAAAAGAAATATAGAGGAAATATTGCCCATTAAAAATGAAAGTAAGTTGAATCATCATATTATGTGTTACACAAACATATACGATGAATTGTAGAATATCTTTTGTTGTTAAAAAAATGTCTGCAAGGAAATGACACGTAAATAGTGTCAAACATAAGAAAAATAACCTTCAATTTTAAAGATATTTCAGCGTCTTTGCTTGTCTCTCCTTTCATCAATCACATAACAACATATCGATGGTTATCATTAAGAAACTAACTTACTAGCTATAATCTAAGACTTACTTTTATTAAATAAAGGAAACTAAGTAACATGACAATCTTATTTAAGTTATTATAGAACAAAACAAGAATATAGATTCTAGATCACGCAACAACAAAACCATGTCTAAAAACCTACGGTAATACAAAAACGAGACAAACTCTAATATCTGCCTAAATTTAGCATTTGATGTTCTACGCATAGACACATTGTTTCATCGTTTAGCTTTCAACCAAAATAAAAAATGGCAAAAACGAATTTTAACATTTGGTACGAGGGCTGTCCAAAAAATTCGTGCACTGCAAATATTGTCGTGAGAGTTATTGATAGAAAAACATTAATTATATATCACTTGAAGGGGAGATCTGTCTCAAATGAGAAAACAATAGAAAAAACATGTTATCGGCATGTCGTGAAAATGAATCGTCATACAGTTACCTTGGTAACATAATACTGGCGCACGTCAAAAAATTGGGTTAGTTCATTACTTTGTTGCATCACAATATTCTTAAAACACTGCATATAAACTTTAAAATTCAGGAAAAAGTATGTGTACGTATTTCTAACGTCACTAGAATATATGACGTCATTTGACTTATTGAAACGGTCGTAAACAAACATTTGTGTGAGGTCGTCAACATTGTAATTACGTGAAAATGTCAGTCGCTAAACGTCTGGAAATATGGACGATCATTAAATTTTGTGCAAATATTGGTAAAGCACAAATAGATACCTACAAAGAACTTAAAAGGGCTAGTGGGGACAAGTTCAGTGTCACAAAGGCTGCTTTTTATATGGCACAAACGCTCTGTAGAAGGGCGAAGGTCGGTAGACGATGACAACCGGTAAGGCAGACGTCCAATATATTCGTGCACTGGTAGAATATGTTACATGTCCGTTGCATAAGAACAGTAAAAACTATAAAATACTTTGCATCAATCATTCCTCTTTTGACAGTAAAACAAATTATAACATAAAAAGCAAATGCCACTTTACAAGCAACAAACAATTTATACAATTACAGTAATGAGCTAATCCAATTATTTGTCGTGCGCCGGTATTACATTACAAAGGTTACTTAATGACCATTCTTTTACACGACACGCCGGTTACTGGGCTTTTTCTTTTGTTTTCATATTTGAGAGAGATTTCCCCTTCAAGTGATATATAATTCATTTGTTTTTATTAACAACTCTCACGATATTAACTGCAGAGCACGAACTTTTTGGACAACCCTCGTATAATAAAGTAATAACAAAATAACATGACAGTTAAAAAGATCATCTGAGTTAAAGATACACTGTAACCCAAAAACCTGAGCCGAAAAATATCCATTTGAAATAAAAACAGTTAACTCTTTTTCATTGCCGTAAAAAATCAATGAAGTTTGAGAAAAACTAATAATTCATACATATTATCTGGTCCTATCTGTTTTATACTTTCACACATGATACAGCATACATTTTGCCACTCTCTTTTGAACTTTAAACAATTTTATTGATTCAGAATCTGCAAAACCTATTTGAAATATGAAATTATTATTAAATCAAACAATCTGCCGATTTATATTACATAATATGTGACTTGTTGTTTACAAGTTATTCTTAAATTATACGAGAAAAACTGACATCTAAGCGGTACTTAAAAATCAAAGTAAAATGAATAGAAAAAAAAGTCAATTAATATTAATATATTTTACCAAGATCCTAAAAAGAATAACTAATGAAGTTATCCGAGTAACATTTGGTGTTAATCTGCTTGAAATATTTTTCAGCTATTTCAGATCTACACTAGTATATAATCAGTGGCATACATAATGTAGAATATACTGTAATTATTGCTCACAATCTCAACAACATACATTTCAATCATTATAATTATACATTATAATTATACATCTACACACTAAAATACATGGTTATCATTCATATCCGAAATATATGTAGGAATGTCACATAAATGAGCCTCCAATGTAGTTAATCTTACTTATTTTAGAAACTATATTTTTCCGATTATGTAACCATTATCAATAAATGATATTTTTGATAAATGGTAAACTATTATAATTGTGTAACCATTTTCAAAAAAAAAATCAGATCAGTCATATATATATATATATATATATAAATATACATACAAATACACATGGTTTGTAAAATTTCATATCTCTTTCAGTAAATATTTTTGTTTTGGTTTTAAGACACACCGGCACTGAAATGGTCATATGGCGACTTTCCAGCTTAACATTATTTCAGACACGAGCGGGCACCCGAGTAGTTCTATCGACGTTTCCGGCAGCTACTCCGCCACGGGCGCCCCTTTTTCAAAATGAACTTGCATGTTTTTGTCAACTTCCCATTTATTAATCAGTTACAGATATGGAAACAAAGGTCAAAACATATATTTCCATTTTTTTTAAAGAAACAAAGATTTTCATACTAATTTGCAATTTACATGATACATATATCAAACCGTAGTTAGCTCATGTTTTGTCTTGTTGTAATCAAACTGCCTGTCTCCAAAGCCGAAACCCAAATTATGTTTATTGTTACTGCTCATATTTGTTAGTATCGATTAAATCTAGTTTTCATTGACCTCGAATTAATTTTGTTCATTCCTTTCCTCCTTACGGCATGTGCACCATAGATACGCGGGGTGCATAAATGAAAATAAAACCAAGCAAAGAAGGAAAACGTTGACCTGAAATGAAGAAGAAAAATCTTTAAAACATAACAAAACTTAACAATTAACACGATTCTTAATTAAAAGAATACAGTAAATGCAATTATTTCCATTGAAAATAACTTTTTTAGAATTCACTGAAATTATTTAAAGATCTTTTACATATCAACACAATTCTTTTAAAGTTCTATAACTAAATATGGCCTGGTGAGTGTGTCTATCTTAGTGTTTTTTTAATCTACATCAATGTTTTATCCATGGAATTAAAAATCAGACGTCACTTATACCAGATATTTCATTTCAATTCAACTACTATTTTAAACAAAATTACCTTATCCATCATCAAAACGACTAGATGAGAATACAATACTTACATGGAATGGAGCGTCAGAATATTGTTCCGCCCAGAAGAATAAAAGATACTGTAACAAACCGAATATACCTCCAAATAGTATCATTATTCCAAACAACAAACCAAAATATTCACTTGGAAATCTGAAACAAACATTAATACAGTTGCACTGCAACGATTTCCATGTGTACTTTATAGCCAATCATCGGTATATTTCAGTAAGTTGCTGAAACTATAGCAGACACGATAGAAGCTTATACCTCGAGACCGGTCATCAACATCGGTTCACCTGAACTGATTTATTGCAACATATGATTTGTGATTATGTCAACGGTAGATTCACAAACCTTAATCCTCTTGTTATTAACGGGGTAAACAGTCATATCTTAAATACACTTTAAATTTCGTCTTTTTGTTGTATTATATATTTTCAATTGTTGAACTGTTTCCTTAGTTTACTGAATTTTCAATTTTCTCTGTATTTTTATGGATTTCTAGTTACTTCTAAGTCTGTTTCTGTTATTTTTTCTTGTAGTTATATACTTTCCTTATCCTAATTATGGTAAATGTAAATATATAGTTTATAGTTTATACTTACACGGCACTGAGAAATCCGGCAGCTGTGCTATACAGAAAGGATCTATATACTGTCATCACTATGAAGGTAAGATAAAGAACCTCAGTTACAGGAATGAGGACAAGTATAGACAATATCACAGATAGAGCACTAGCTAGAGCCAATGGTAATACTGCAGGTATTATTTCCCTGTACATCTGGGAATTACCATCTGTAAAATGTTCAAATAGTTTCTCTCATTACACAAAACACAATTTTTCATTTGGAAATTTGTTATACAGAAAATTTGTTCACGCTGAATGTCAATATAATTTTTAACAATTATTAACAGTATAATTTTCAACAATTATTAACAGAAATTCAAATGAGTTAATTTCATGGAAAAAATAAATCATTCGATATTTTATATTAAAAAATTTAAATTTAAATTCCTCGTTACATTTTGATAGGACACTTTGAATAAACTCAATGATTTCATTTTTTTATCTTTCAAAAGATTACAACTTTTCAAAATGTATCATCATATTAAATGATTCACCTTTAAATACTGTTTTCACCCAATCATAAACCCAGCCGGCAAACGGAGACGTTAAAAGTCCACCCATCATGATAAAAAGACTGATGTTTGTGAAAGAACTTACTGAAAATTTATATTGATATGACTTTGAAATGAAATTTCAGCAATATTATGATTGTTTGTTACTTTTGTTGGATTTCATTTCCCATCGACACTGTCGAATACGGAAGCTTATCAGGCCTACAGTTGATGTGATGTTTTGAGCTAAGTCGACTTATCTTTATTCCCGTTGATAAGATGTTTTTGCATTTCTCAGTAAAATTTACTGACAAAGATGAGAAGTTTTTAGGCATTGCAACTGAATTTTTCTCGAAATGCTTGAAGCTTTTGTCTCTTCGACAAAAATCCTGTCGAAACTTCGTGATTTCACGACTTTGCTGAAATATTTAGTAAGATGCAATACGTTACTCGCATTGACAAATAGCTCACGTAATTCAACAAACGTTTTTGGCAATTATTAAAAATTTCTACGTATTACGTATTAATCATAACGTCTTCATGAAATGGTTTATGTACGAGTATTACTTTTTAATCATAACGTTTTCATGGAATGTTTTATGTATTACGTATTAATCATAAAGTCTTCATGGAATGGTTTTGGTCAAAACGAGAAGAAACAAGTTGACATGACGTAAAACTTTTAGATAAGTGGAGGCCCTGATAAGCTTCCGTGGTTAAACTCATGCTTAACTGGTGAATTGCAGTATATACAAAATAATTAAATAATCTTAAGTTTGAAACGTAATTAAACATGATAACAATTCCGTTAACATTTATCGTAAAGAAAACTATCTTATAATCAGATAATTATGATACTTTAATTACAAAGTTTAGATTTTATTAAGTTTAATTATTTTGAGAACTTCTCGGAAAACAATACTAATTTATCATTATACTTAAGAAATAATAGGAGTGTTGAATGATAAAAATAATAGACCTTCTTCTTCGTCTTCCTCGAGGAGTATATTTAAATGCCGATTCAGTGTTCCAAGAATGTAAAAAAATCTCAGTTGAAGAATACAGAGCCAAATGGTATGAGTAACAAACTTTCCCTGTTTCAGACAGCTTAATAAACTTGGTGATTCTGTGCTCTCGTCTGAAATAATTATCAAGTTAACTAACTTTAAAATTTCCTTCCATGAACTAAAATTTAATAAAGAGGTAAAGGCAACGACTTGTGTGCATTAATAGAACAATATATAACTTTTACACAACGGTAAAATAATTAAATAATAAGTATGCACTTTGTAATATTTCAAAACAAAACAGGCAGATATATTTAATCATGTAAAAGAAATGACTTTTAATATTTCATTTCAACAAGCAGTGTAAAGACAAAACATGTATTATTAAAAGATATAAAACATAACGCCAGAATTTTGAGTAAATACTAACCAAGCTTCCCATCTGGTCAGCAAATGTTTGTATCATTCAGGAAATTTACTAGAAAATTTGAGGCACTGCATTTACAAAAAAAAGTACTTCTATGTTAAGGTTAAAAAGTCTAATTATTGTCATTTACTGCAAGGTGAATTTGAAATCAATAAAATGAAGAGAGCGATCTATAGTAAGGTTGTAAACGGTAGAGAAATGACTTATCGTTTAAAATAAAGACAAGCACCTGTTTGCTTAAGAGGTTCTTTTCCAGCTTCACCATCTCCAGTACTCTCTGACACAGAATCTCGCTGTACAGCTGGTTCAGCTATAAAACGTTTGAAGAAAGAAAAAGAAAAATGTGCTGACCAATAAATGATACATAACGAGTCAAACGTGATCATCCAAATGTATTTCAGATATATCAAAACAAAACAGCCAATACATGTTTAATTAAATCATGTTACAGCGTTAACCTTTCATAATGCACTTTTACAAGAAATAGTGTTCAGACAAAATTACTGACATATATAAAACACAGAATCGAACCAAGTGCTTCTGTAAATGAATTTAAATAACGAAATAATATACTTTACCAAAACTTCTCATCTGGTTAACAAATATTTGTATCATTCAAGGAAATGTACAAGCAAGTTAAAGCAAAGCATTTACGAGAAAAGAACACTTCAGTGTTAGCGTAAAAAAGTATTTTTCATGTCATTTATTGCTGGTTGAATTTGAAACCATCAATCAGAAGAGTGTGAAACATAGGAAGGTAACCAATTGAACTGGAATGACTGAACCAATTAAGACAAGCACCTATTTCATTATGTTGCGCAAGAGGTTCTTTTTCAGCTCCGCCATCTTCAAACTTCTCATCCACAGTATGTTGCTGTACAGCTGGGTCAGATATAAAAAGACATGAAGGAAGAAAAATGTACAAACTAAGAATACATAGCAGAGCCAAATCAAATTATTAATTTTTTTATCAAAACAAAACAGGAAATATATATTTAAATCACTTAAATGCGTTTACCTTTCATAATGCATTTTACAAAATAAATATAAAGACAAGATTATTGAAAGATATGACATTGTTTTGAACCAAGTTTTTCAAAAACACAACCATGCCGGCATCTTGTCTTAAAACTTACCACAAAAACTTATCACCTGGTAAGCAAAAATGCGTAAAATTAAGATGATTTACAAGCAAATTTGAAGCAATTAATTTACAAGAAAAGAATACGTCATTGTTAAAGTTAGTACACCTGTACACCTTTCTATTTTCATTTCCTGTGAGGTGTTTCTGAAACAATCAAATCTAAGTCATAAATCTAAAGTCATTCATAGGAAGGTAACTAATGGTTGTGAAATGACTGAACGTATAAGTGAAAAAAGCACCTGTTTGATTATTTATCTTAAGAAGTTTTATTCCAACCTCATTCTCAATCCCAGTATCTTGCTTTACACCTGGCTTTGTTATAAAATCTTTTGGAAGGAAACAAAATGTGCTGACAAATAGAAGGCAATGCATTACTGTGATAATAATAAACATGTTCATTCTGCTGAAACCATTCTCATATGCAATCTGAAAAATATAAATTGTTCGCTTCGTGTTTCTGAATCGATATCAAAGAAGTATAACATACATTTACAGTTTGAAAAATATTTAAAACAACAACATTTATTAAGCATAAAAAACTTTAAGGCATAAACATCTCGTACATTTTCCATTATTTAGAAAGTGTTTAGAATGCAGCCTTTAAAAATGATTAAATTAAAATTGACCAACTAATGAAAAAAATTATCCTTATATATATTTTTACTAGAATCATTTAAATATGTCAGCAATAAAATAAAATTGACCTTGACAAGAAGCATTACAGCAGACGACATGTCAAACCCTCCACACAGTAACCCTACATATGCTGAACTTCCCTTCGAGAACAAATTGGATACCTGTAGATACATTAACTTGTTCAATAGAATACTTGACTACTGTAAAAAAAACGATGGGCGACAACAAGCAATACATATTTGGATTACCGATAATGGTATCTGTGAATTTCAGCTTCAGAGAATTTCGGTTCAGAGAAAACATATTTGAATTAAAGAAATAAATTACAAGTCTATCATAAAAGAAGAAATAAAAGTTAATTTATCGAAAACAGGTTTGTGGTAAATTCGATTTTTGTAACATAATTTAACAAAGCAAAATATTCTGAAAAGAAAACGACAACAAAAGTTGATGAAGGCGCTGATTACCTGTACGTTTGTCACCAAAATAGGCATACCACCAGTACCTATCAGAGACAGTCCTGGAAACATCAACCACGGATTCTCCTTGCTGGTAAAAGCCATCATCAATGTACCAGTTATGAAGAATACCCTAAGATATACAAAGGTCAATACACATTAACAAATGTCACATCAATTTATTTCCTTGTGAAAGAAAAATGTGTTACAAAACAAGTAAAAAAAAAACAGAATGTACATGTCTACAAAATTCTATCAAATTTCAATGACTGAAAACTGTTTTAAATATTTCTAGAATAATGGAACGTGCAACTTAAACACTTCGTTGACGTGTATATACAACTTAAAATGCGACAGATATTTTCGCTTGTTACTTTCCAGAAAAGTACAATTGCGAGTTATTTATCAAATATTAAAAAAATAAAAGGGTTATCCAGAATATGTTATTTGCATTAATATGAATTCATTGCCTTAGTTACACGAATTTTTAGATAAATAAAGTTTTAAACAAAGATGTCGCTTAAAATTTAATTCTTATTTTCACAAATCAATTATTTCTTCTGCATCATGTGCTTAGATGCCACTTGCATAGGCAAACATAGACGGTACTGTAGTTTGTAATGTCTAAAATATTTTACTGAAATATTGTTCTACTACTAGATGGTTTTGGAATCAGGTCCAACATCTTCTTGGTTGGTTGTCTCTTTACAATCTACGTACAAGTTCATCCAAAATGTTCTTATTTCTACTGAAGATATTGAAGGGCAACCGCAAGACGTTAATAATTAGTTATCGGAGAATATCTTGTTGCACGGTGTTATAACAAAAAAACAATAATGATGTGGAAATGTTTAGCCCTCTGGGTTACTTGATAACTTTGTTGTGTATATTATAAAACGACATGATAACAAGACCATAATACTATAAGTATCTAAATAAATAAGCCTTATAAAATCAGCTGTATTTTAAGAATATTAAATGATTCTTATACAACTAGTTAATTATTTTGATTGAGTCACAACATCAAGTAAACCTAAGAAAATTACCCATTTTCAGCATCTACGATATTATAAACACATTAAGTATGGCTGATATACTTACATGCATATCAATCGTGTTACCATTGTTCCAAACCTGTAATTGATAAAACCGAATACAGCACAACCGATACAGTAAACAACAGTTCCAATGGTGAAACAAAATGCCATTTTATCGTCCTGTGGTTTACAAGCTTCTTCCTTTGTATATTGACTAGACATATTGGACAATGCTTTAAATACTTTATTTGATGATGATGTTGTGCCATTTAACAAACGGATATTAAGAACTGTTGCTGTATTATTTTCCATATAATAAGTCAAGAAAGAACTATTGGCTGTATCCTCACATAAGTCGGCGTATATACCTTCTGATTTCAGTACAAAGTTTAAAGATGGCCATCCAAACATAATTCCAGCAAAGAGCAAACATTCCATGAACGCCCAACCGGCAACAAGCCATTTCTTCCAGCCTATATCACCTTTACTCGTATCAGCTAAAACCATGGTTTTAAGTATTCTTAGTCAATGTATTAATAATTCAGGTCTTTTTCTTAATTTGATATTCATATGTTGTAATAGGAGAATAATGCTTCATTATTGCCATGGACGCCGATTCTTGTTTAATTGTCCTCCTCTGCAAACAAAACATACAACTATATATTAAAACTAAACAAGAAACTGGTTATGAAACACATAAAATAAGGTCAGAGCGGCTTAGGTAGTAATGTAAAATTTGGTGTTTTTTATTGGTGTGTAGCTCAGGGTATTTCAAGTTAAGTTTTATTGACATCACTGGAAGTGTTTGATTAGAGGCAATAAAAACACTCTTCGCATTTGATGTTGGAAGTCCAGTAAGTTTTATTCCAAGTTTCTTATTTATTCACCTTCAGTGCTCTAAAATTAACACAGGCTTAACTTAAACTTAAACGTCAAAGATCAAGTTTGGTGAAAAGTATTACATGAAACGATTCACAAGTAAACTACATCTATTTACATAACGAAATTAATCCTGTAAGAAATAAAGTTCAAAGATGAAATACTATGAATAACAGTGGATTAGATTTATTTAAGAAAGCGTCCTGGTGCCAATTTAACATATTCTATAAAAAAAAGAAAACTCCTACGTAGGACTTTGTAACTCCTACGTAGGAGATAAAAAAGCCTTATTGGGAGTTTACAACTCCTACGTAGGACTTTGTTAGTCTCCTACGTAAGAGTTAACAAAGCCTAATTAGGAGTTTATAATCCTACGTAGGACTTTATAACTCCTACGTATGACTTTATAACTCCTACGTAGGACTTTATAACTCCTACGTAGGAGATAAAAAAGCCTAATAAGGAGTTTATAACTCCTACGTAGGACTTTGTAAGTCCTACGTAGGACTTTATAACTCCTACGTAGGACTTTATAAGTCCTACGTAGGACTTTGCAACTCTTACGTAGGAGATATAAAAACCTAATTAGGAGTTTTGAAGTCCAACGTAGGACTTACAAACTCCTACGTAGGACTTTATATCTCCTACGTAGGAGTTAAAAAAGCCTAATTAGGAGTTTATAACTCCTACGTAGGACTTTATTAACTCCTAATTAGGCCTTTTTATCTCCTAAGAAGGAGTTATAAAGTCCTACGTAGGTATTACAAAGTCCTACGTAGGAGTTATCTTTTTTATAGAACATGTTAAATTGGCACCAGGACGCTTCCGTATTTATTTACAAGTATTTGAAAGAAAATAATTTAAGAATGCTACCGAATGATTATACCGGTATTAATTTTGCCTTCGCTGCTCACATATGGCTACAGGAACAATAGGTTACTGTACTTTCTCTTTGATGTCATTCATTTCGTAAGCTTCTATGTGGCTGTTTTCCTTTGTGTGGCTACAAAAAACAAAAGAGAGAACAATGGAATAGCCACATTAGTAATATCTCGTTAAAAAATCGTTCGTCACCATTAAGCTTGTCCGGCTTTCGCATGTAAATCTGCCGGCGTGATTTCGACGAAACTTCACAAGAATGATCAATACCAACCCCAGTTGTGGATATCGTCATCATGTTTGCCTTTGCTACACAAAATGGCCAGCAGAGCTAAAAATAGAAAAGTCTTGTCTGACTTTCAGAGATCAATCTGTGGGCGGATTTTGACAAGACTTCAACCCTAGTTGTACATATCGCCGGCACTTCGCGCTTCGCTACACAAAATTGCCATCAGAGTTTTAAAACAAACAACCTTGTCCGACATTTGCAGGTCATACTACTGGCGGGATTTCGAGGAAACCTCACAGGAGTGATTAGTTCCGACCCCTGTTGTGCATATTATCGGCACATTCCACCTCACTGAACAAAATTGCCGCCAGAACTTAGGTCCGGATTTCACAAGTCAAACTACTGGCGGGTTCTATCAGTAGAGTACATACGGGAAAGACATATGTTTTTGTAACAAAACCTCTTGTAGTTAATTAATGTTTTTTTTTGTTTTTTTTTTTTTTTGTTAAGCAATGTTTCTTTTATAAGCTGTAACGGGTTGACCAAACATTACAAGGGATGATCAAAAATAAAATGGACTTTGACTCTCAATTGAAGAATTTTCAACCTATCGCTTATTGTTATATATCACACTTAATCGGAAACTGATGCTTTATCTTATCTGATAACGCAAAAACCTTGTCCGTTACAGCAAATTCAAAAACAATGATAACGCACACCCGGCGCAGTGTGTAAATTTGTGTTGAGGTGCTGTATGCTGTGTATATTTTACAAATGTAGCACATGTAGATTTCAAAATACAATGTACGTCAAAACGTCAAAAACCACATCTTTGACGTTGTCAGGAAAAATGATGTCATTTAAACCATATTTATATTTGCAATCACAATTCAATTTCACTCGTTAAAGAAATGATCGTGTTAAAACTTGTGTCGTCGAACGTCTCGAAAAAAGATCAATAAGAAAAGTTTGTAAAAAGTTAGGCGAGAAACTGTTTAAAACGTAGAAAAAGATTTTGGCTATCAAGGGAAAAATCCATAAAGCCACAGCATAGTTTTGATAAGCATAAGGATTAAGAAAGGGTAATAGAGAAATAGAAAACAAGTAATGGAGAGACAGTAAAAAGAAATTTTCAAGGACGTTGGTGACGTCAATCGACGAGACGTTGAAAAACGACAGTCGATTGACATTGACTGCGGACATTGTCAACGATGTTCGACTGTGCAGTCAACTCTTAGGATTTTAAAATGATAAATTGTTAAAGCGTTAATAACATATATTGTATTCTTGGTCTACAATTGTATAAATTATTTATTATTTTACGCAATAGTCTTTCAACAATTTAACAGTCATGGTTCAAAATCGGCTATACGATTTATTTATTTCAAAATAATGATTATTTTTTTCTTAGGTGTATTGCTCATTTTTTTCGTATGTACGATTCATTATTATTCAGCAACATTATTTTACATTATTTGTGATACATTATATAGTTTATTACATGTCCTTTTTTTCCAGCAATCAAGTTACAGTAGGAAAGAACGGGAGTTTGCGTCATTACAGAAGCTCTTTATCATCATCCATTCTATTGCAATAGAATATGATACCACCTATTGGCCTACTTTGTAAATGAGTAAAAAAACTTTTTTCTTTGTTAATATTTCTTGTATCATTAAGGGGATAGATTCCGATTTATTTTCCGAGTATATTTATGTAAATTCATTTAACAGGTAAAGAATCATTTACAAAGGCCGGTTTATTTTTGACCACCCCTCGTAGAAATATAAATAGATATGTATACATGGCAATCTATTGTCTTGCTCAGAAACTAACAAAAATGCTTCATGACAAAATTGACCAGATTAATACCTGTTGAAGCCATTCAAAATACACTAATGCAGTGTTAAAATAAAATCTTTCTTTTAATGGCGACACTCATTTGTAAAAAAAAGTCGGAGATATAATAATATAATGATGAAATGTTGAAAATACGATGGTGAAAAGTCGAAACCACGGCCCTGAAAAGAAAAAATGGGAAATTATATCAAGTTTTCATCATCGTGGTTTCGTTATTTCGATTTCTCACCATCGTACTTTCGTCTTTTCATCATGGTATCTTCGACTTTTTTACTATTGTGATTTCGTGTTTAAGTTGTTTCTAGTTATGTGTGTGTCGCGATGGCCCTAATGTGATACCATATTGAAGAAGAATCAAAACCTTAAGAATGCAAAACCTGAATAAAGAAGAAAAGAACTAGTTGCAATATTTAATTAAAACCTTCCATATGTGATTATTTGTACTGCAACAAAAGTAGATTTAAAACAACTCAGTTAAACCTTTGTCCTGTAATATACTATTTTTTCGTTTTTCTCGTACACTGCTTCTTATAAAATATTAAAAAGGGAAGTGTGCTATTATTTAATAATAATGTTTTGACTTCACACGAAGTAAATATTTCATGTTTAAAACTCTACGCACTATAGGTGGTCACAATATCAATATATAGTGTCGTTAAAAAAACTGGCAGTTTATTTAAGAAAAGACCAACTTTACTTGTCCTGCAAAAGGGAAGGCGAATTCCAATACATAGTAAATTCATATTTTCATTCAAATCAGACATATTAAGTAAGAATTTTATAAGTTTTATAGGTTTTAACAAATCTCTATGATTAAAATATTTTATTCAAAGATGAGCAGTTTATTGTGTTGTTAAATGTTTCTATTGATTTGCTATGATTTCCTTTATTGACATGTTCGTGTTCTTGCCCCGCCCAAACCAGTTTTAGTTCGGTGCCCAGCTGGGTTCCAAGATTTAAGAAGGTTTTGGGATGCTTGAATATCGCCCTCCCTTGTTGATATTTGTTCTCATATTTTATCACTCTTGATGACTTTAACAAAGTCAGATTAAGATTCAAAGTGCGTCTTATCTCCCTATTAATTAACTAGTAAACAAACACGTTCAAAACTTAACAAGTCGTATACCAACCTGAAAACTAAAAAAATGTAAATCTGTCTCCAACATATTTCATCGATCATGACAACGTTAAAAACTATAAAAATAAATAAATAAAACTTGAATTATGGAAATGATCCTTTAAAACCAATGAAAATAAAGTTAGTATGTGAAAATTGAAGGCTCGGTTTTATTGTACAAGTATGTGTTACTGATAGATAAAAAGGACATCAATGCAAACGCTTTCTAACCTTGGCTTCGGCAGTATTCAATTCTCAACACTATAGTATTGAAATCATTGAGTCCTTTGTAATGTTATGTGGTTTTGTATATGAGTATATCACAAGTAGACAAACGTATAACTCAAATGAGAAATAAGATACACAAGTGTGTTCTATGACTACAAGTTTAATACTGGATATAAACTCTTAACAAGTACTGTTGGACTACTTTCTAAGCATGCGCATGTATACATTTATATAAACAGTCTCATATTACATCTGTCTTCTTTTAATGAAAGAATTTGATTGTATATCTAAACAAACAGATATTCATTAAGAATATGTTTTTAGATTTTGAACATTGATAATATTATTGAATCTGTTTTAGAAATTATTTTAGCTATTTCATATATAAGAATAATTAAAAGCAATCATTACGAACTAATCTATTTATTTACACAATGATCGTTTATCAGATATATAATCATCAGTCAGTTTACTTCTGATATGTGTCATTTTGATAACGAGTACTAGGCTTTACAATTCTCCCAGACCGTGTTACATAATTACCACATGTGCTAGCCAGTGGTTTAGAGCTAATAGAAGGGTCACTATTTTGTGGGAAACTATTATCAGGTAATTTGATCTTTTGTGTTCATGATGAAGCAAGTGCATTAGGGAGAAAATCGGTTATTTGATTTTCTTGGGTTTTGATTAGAAATTTCCTATTGCGACAGTAAATTGTGCCATTTTGTGTCTTTACATTGTATGACCTTTCTCCATTCTTTGAAGTAATCGTTCCTGGTACCCATTTTTTACCAAATTGAATACGAACTGGGTCATTTGCTTGAAGTGGACTTAGACTTTTTGAGTTTTTATCAAAATAATATTTTTGTTTTGACTTGATTTTCTGCATTTTTGATTTAACCACTGATGGACTAACTGTCTGGGAATGAAGCCTTTTTCAGAAACTGGAACTACAGACTTTGTCCTTCGTCCCATTAACAACTGATTTGGGGTATAACCACATTCTAAAGGTGTGTTTCTGTATTCTAAAATACATACATATGGGTTTTGCTTAGATTCTTTTGCCTTAGTTAAGGTTTTCTTAGCAATTGACACACCCTTTTCAGCCATTCCATTTGACCTACTATGATAAGGTGATGACGTATTGTGAGTAAATCCCCATGATTTCGCGAACTCGGCAAATTCTGTTGACGAAAATTGCGGTCTGTTATCACTCATGCAAATATCTACAATTCCATATCGAGACATATGTGCACGAAGTTTTTGTATTACGGTATTTGATCGAGTATCTGGCAAATAGTCAATTTCAAAGAATCGAATATAATAGTCAATTGTTATCAAGTAATTCTTACCATCATGAGTAAAAATATCTGTGCCAATTTTCTGCCACGGTCTATCAGGAAACTCATGACTTATAAGCGGTTCATTTGCATTTGAATTACGATGCGAGAGACAAGTACTACACTGTTAAACAAATTCAGTGATTTGTTTAATCATGCCGGGCCAAAAGAAATTTTCTTTCCCACGCTCAACCGTTTTGTTTACACCAAAATGCCCAGTGTGTATTTGGCCTATAATTTCAGAGCGGAGTGATTTTGGGATAACAATTCTTTGACCTCGAAATATAAGACCATTTTCATAACTTAGTTCATCCCTATGGTTCCAGAACTCAAGTTTATCTGACGGGCACATTGATCTTTCCTCTGGGAAACCTTCAATGATTGTTTGTTTTAAAATGACCATTTGTTTATCACTGCTTGATATTTCCGAGATTTTTTGCAATCTTTGATCAGTGAAGTGGAGTTGTTTACATACAGTGTGCACATGTGTGTCAAGTCCTTGAACTACTTCTGACTGCGAATCTGATATACATTGTCGAGATAAGCAATCACTGACCGGGATGTGTTTGCCTGGAACATAGATAACTTTAATGTCGTACTTTTGTAATTGTAATAACATTCTCTGCAGTCTAGCTAGGTGGTGCGGCTGACAATGGTTTTTTGATTATAACAGCGATTGGTTTGTGATCTGAGTGTACAGTCACATGTCTCCCGTATGTGTATAGATGAAAACTAGTACAACCATACAATATGGCTAATAACTCTTTCTCTATTTGAGCATAACCCTTTTCAGTTTCGGTTAAACGTTTCGACGCATATGCAATCGGTCTGCCATTGTGTATGAGACACGTGCCTATTCCGTCCTTCGAGCTGTCAGACTCTAATGTAAGTGGTGCTTTCGGGTCATAATAACCTAACACAGGTGCAAACTGCACTGACCATCAATAGTTCCAATACCAGAAAATAGGTCACTGTATTCTTTCATGACTATTTCTCTGGTCAGAAATGTTTTATTCTTGTCAGGGAGGGAGTGTTCCACAGAAAATGTGAGCTTAATCAGGCCAAGGTTTAATGAAGTTTGCAAGCCTAAGAGAGGGGATGCATTTCTATCTACCATATAAAACTTTGCAGTCATTGACTGATTTCCTAAATAACAGGTCAACATGACTGTTCCAAGGATTGAAAGTGCTTCACCTATATATGAGGTTAATTTGCAATCAGGGGCCTCAAGTGGGGTACTCAAATTCAGTTTTTGAAATTGTTGCTTGGGCAGAATGTTTGCAGCACTGCCAGTGTCAATTTTAAATGATATTGGACATTTGTTTGGGCCAAGACAAATTTCGGTTTTAACACAGTCTGGAGAATGTAAGCTAGTACTCACCGTATTAATTGAGTATCAATCAACTGCATTGCACAAGTTTTCTTCAATGTCACTATTGTCCCCTATTTGATTGACACTTATAGCGTTTTTCTGTGATTTGCACTGTTTTGAAAAGTGATTCAGTTTGTTACACTTATAGCATGTAGCCCCCTTTGCCGGACAGTTTGTTCTCTGGTCATGTCGCGTGCCACAACGCCCACAAACATTTTGTGATCCATGTCCTTGCATCCTTCCCGTCTAAGTGGGTCCATTTGCTGATTGTTTTCCTTTATTATGCCTTTGCGTCTTAACAGCGTCAATTGGTTGTTGCGCGGCTGCTCCCATGGTTGCCATCTGTTTTTGGCAATATTCGTAATTTTGTGCAATTTGTATTGCCTTGTCTAATGTTAATTTTTCGCCTTCATTTATTAGTTTCTCACGTACTTTGGAACTATTACATCCAAATACAATTCTGTCTCGGATGTTTTCATTTTTGTCCGTGAATTGGCAATCTGTGGCTTTGTTTCTTAGCCTGGTAACGAACGCGTCAATTGAGTCACTTCCTTGTATCTCGTTCATAAACTGATATCTAGCAAATATCGGATTAAGTTTTGGTTGCACGTGATATTTATACTTTACATAATATGTGTTAAGCTTTTTGGCGTTTTCTGCACTAAGGTCCCATGTTCGGTACACTTCTCTGCCTTCGTCACCAATCCATAGCAATAAGTATGAAACTTTTTCTTCCTCTGATTTAGATTTAAGTGGTCCAGAAAATATAAGTTCCACGTTCAATTTAAATTTTTGCCACTGTTCAATTAAATTTGAGCTTTGCCAGTTCATTACTGGTGGTGGAATGCCACTAAGATCCATTGTTGTTGTTGTTTATTAGTTTAAATCACTTTTAACTATATTATCATATTATTATAATTAATCCAATGTTTAAAAAATTCAGCAATATTTCTGACACCATGTAATGTTATGTGGTTTTGTATGTGAGTATATCACAAGTAGACAAACGTATAACTCAAATGAGAAATAAGATACACAAGTGTGTTCTATGACTACAAGTTTAATACTGGATATAAACTCTTAACAAGTACTGTTGGACTACTTTCTAAGCATGCGCATGTATACATTTATATAAATAGTCTCATATTACATTCCGTAGGGCCAGAAACATTAAACAACGCCATGGGGTACAATTAATGTAAAGAGACAGTTCTTGGGGCAGTCACAACAAAGTTGAAATGCAAAAATTGAAGACTGTTCATAATTGATCTTTTTTATGCTCACAGGAGTCCTCTATCCAAAAGGGAACCAAAAATATATAATAACATTGAGATGAAGGACAGGCCAAGCACTTTGACACCTGTTGTGATTATAAAAATTCTGGAAAGCGAAAAATTAAGAAGGTGACATTGAAATCTTGCAATACGTCGTATGTCCTAACGAAACAGGATTTTCTTTCCCTTATCTTCAAAACATATTTTATCATAATTTTTCTTAATATAATTTTAAAGACTTAAAAGAAATTTACATGTCATTGATAGTAAATCGTTCACTTTTCTGGACGAACAAATAACTCCACAGATCTTTATCAACACGAACACATTGTAAATAATCCTCACAAGTTAAAATCGACATATACCACTGTGGGAAACATTATAAAATCAATGATTATCCAGTAGATAAGCGTTTTATTGTATATTACATGTACTTAAATCAAACATTTTGAAGAATATATTTTCCCGTTTACAGTCACTTTTCATATCTTAGATAGCAAGTACCGTTGAGCTGTATACATGTATAGAGAGTCAGACGATAGCCAGATTAGCAGGTATAACATAATGTTTAGCTTTTCCTTGTTTTCAAGACTTCTAAAAATGTTTTACTTCTATTGCATTTGATCTGAATACACAGAACTTGAATAGGGAATGGGTCTAGAAATATCGATATAAATAGAAAAAACAATTCAATACTGCATTGCATTCTTGTGTTGACTTTTTCAGAAAATGCAAAATGCATTTAACTATCGATTATTGTTTTACTTAGATAAAATATACACTTGTTATTTGTTACAAATGTTTAAAAAAATCAACATTTTAATTAAGTCAAAATACAAACATTATATTGTACCTGTTATAATCTGTGGGGAAAAATATATGTAAAACCAATACCTTTTGTAGTTCCTTGACAACAAAGAGTTTATTAGCTTATTTAATTATGATCATTATTTCATAATCAAACACAAGAGTCGTAGTGTATTAATAATTTACACGATCAATGTTTAAAGCATTTTAAATCCTTTGATTTATCTCACAGTATATACCCGGTATTTAATTAAATCTGTGTAGTAAATAGATCATGACTGACAATGCCGTAATAGTGCATGTGCAGATAAATCATTCAAGATTATATATATCATTATAAACTAACTTGTGTTAAAGGTGCATTATGCTTCGGACAAGAACAGAGGTTTACTTCTATAGAAAGGGCAAACATGAGTTTTACAACGATGTTTGTTACCTGGAAAAAGTAGTGGTAAATGTGAAATTGTTTGTCATAAAAATAGCCAACGTAAACAAAGTAGTATTTTGACTTTCATACAAAATACTAAATCTAACTGCCAAAAAGCCAAAGAAAATAAATAGTAAGATCAGGTTATTTGTCACTGAGTTTATTTTTGCAATCTATGAAAGAACACGAGAAATAAAAAGCGAAGTGATAGTGTATCATAACAAGAGGGCCATGATGGCCCAAAGTCGCTCACCTGTATATAGGCCCCTGGAGTGGGGCCAGTTTAAACCCCAGGGCTTTTATTTGAACAAACTTGGTTGTATATGTATGAATGTATATATATATATGTATATATATATATATATATATATATATATATATATATATATATATATATATATATATTTATATCTATATAAATATATATATATATACATATATATATATATATATATATATATACATAATATATATATACATACACATTTATATATATATATATATATATATATATATATATATATATTAAATATATATGTATATATATAATATGTATATATCGAAAAAAAAAAGTCAAGCTAATATATATATATAAACACATTTATATATATATATATTTATTTATATATATATATATATATATATATATATATATATATATATATATATATATATATATATATATATATATATATATATATATATATATTAAATATATATGTATATATATAATATGTATATATCGAAAAAAAAAAGTCAAGCTAATGAATGACCCCCGGGGCGGGGCCAATTTTGACCCCAGGGCTTTTATTTGAACAAACTTGGTAGACACCCATGAGAACATGTTTCATGCTAAATATCTTAGCTCTAGCTCTTTGAGTTCTTTAAAAGAAGATTTTTTAAGTTTTTACTATATGCACATAGGGAAAATCAATGACCCCCGGGGGCGGGGCCAATTTTGACCCTAGGGCTTTTATTTGAACAAACTTGGTAGACACTCACTAGAAGATGTTTCATGCTTTATATCTAAACACTAGCTATCTGGGTTTTTTCAAAGAAGATTTTTAAGTTTTTGCTATACACATGCAGTCATATAAGGAAAATCAATGACCCCCGGGGCGGGGCCAATTTTGACCCTAGGGCTTTGATTTGAACAAACTTTGTAGACACTCACTAGAAGATGTTTCATGCTTAATAGCTAAACTCCAGCTATTTGGGTTTTTTTAAAGAAGATTTTTTAAGTTTTTGCTATACACATATAAGGAAAATCAATGACCCCCGGGGCGGAGCCAATTTTGACCCCAGGGCTTTTATTTGAACAAACTTGGTAGACACCCATTAGAACATGTTTCATGCTAAATATCTTAGCTCTAGCTCTTTGAGTTCTTTAAAAGAAGATTTTTTAAGTTTTTTACTATATGCATATAGGGAAAATCAATGACCCCCTGGGGCGGGGCCAATTTTGACCCTAGGGCTTTGATTTGAACAAACTTGGTAGGCACTCATTAGAAGATGTTTCATGCCAAATATCTAAGCTCTAGCTCTTACGGTTTTTTAGAAGAAGATTTTTTAAGTTTTTCTTATTGGTTGCCATGGCAACCAGAGTTTTTAATGGAATTTAAATTTTTGAACAACTTTGAAAGGGGTCCACCTAAGGATCATTTCTGTAAAGTTTGGTTGCAATTGGCCATGTAGTTTAGGAGGAGATGTTGTTTGAAAAGTTTGACGCCATTTTTTGAAGGACGCACGACGCACGACGCACGACGCACGACGCACGACGGACGCAGAGTGATGACAAAAGCTCACCTTTGAGCACTTCGTGCTCAGGTGAGCTAAAAATACATGGTTTCGGATTTTGTATCAATAGTGCGTATTTGTTGCAGTATACGAAAACCAAATGGATTGCATTAAAACATCAATCTTACAGTAATCAATACACTTGCTATATCCACTTTCATAAACCGAAGACCTACTTTTAACAAAATAAACATAAACATTGGGAATATTACATAACTTTATTTATTGTTATATTAATCGATAATCAGTGTAAGTGGTCTAAAGGACACTATGTAAACTATTTATAAAGAACGAATTTAATCAAAAATTAATTAATAAGTTCACCCTTACTGTTTTCTAAAATCATTAATTTTCTTTTATAAAAGTAGGTTATTTTCAAATGTCTGATTAAAACTGGTCGTAAACGAGCATGTTTGAGGTTTAAGTTTACCGTTTGGGCATATCAAATTTCTATTAACAGTCGATGAATAAGGGATTTTTTCCTTATGTTAAACAAATCTACCTTTTAAAACATACTTAAATTGCTTTAAATAAAGATGTAAAAAACTTTTATTATTTTTATCTATTGGTGGAAAACGTGTTTCTCAACCTTTTCTTTATCGTAAATGTGTAATTTGTTTTGTTTGGTTTAACGGTTGGCCAAAACAATTTAGGTCATATGGCGCCGAAATAGGAAAGATGATTTTGGCTAACCAACCTCGGATGTTAAAAACTTAAAGCAACACCAGGGATCAATACCAATTCACCTGTGTGAGTTAAGAGATGCTTAGACTCCTGGAATTCGAACCCATTTAGTTGCCTCATACGATCACGCAGGGATAAACGGTGGCTGCAATGCTGATGCCTTTATCCATAAAAGCAACCCCTCAGTCACAATTGTTAACTGTGTAATTCATCAGTCATATGGTAAGAACAAATTACAGAGATACAAGTGTTTGCAAATTATTAGATACTAGGGTGAATATGATATTTAATGTGTGGTAACCAATAATTTGTACCATTGCACTCCTAAAATTATGTTTTATCTTCGTTTACATATACCATATATACCATTTCATAAACATTTTCAATGACTTTAATAAAGTAACATAAAGGTTGGGAAAAAGGGGACATTAGGTATTAATCTTCATATTGAGTAGTTTAAATATGACATTTTTCTTTGAATAACATTCACCCAATAAAGCATCTTTGGTAAATATCTGTCGTTCCAATCATTGCAAAAGATACATTATATGTATTTAGTTAAAAAAAATATGTCCATATTCTAGATTTTAGAAAATATTCTAGTGGTAATAAATTTCTGACAATGTATTATTCCCTTCGCTATGCTAACCCTTTGTTCTCATATATATATAACCATGAAAAACATGTTAAATATTTATACGCCGGCAGTAGAATTGTTGTTAAGTCAGTAATTGAAGTTACACAACTTGTGAAATACGTAAACAGCATAAAAAGTAAGGAAGGGCCATATCTAATGCAGGAAAAAAGTAGTTCTAACTTCCTTTGATATTTCATAGTTACGTGTTGTGGCGAGCATACATGAAAATTTTATGTACACGAGGTCAAAAAAAATGCACTGTGTGTATATTATGAACAAAAGTTCGTAGAACACGAAATATCCGCCGTTTCATACATTCTGCTAGTGACCTTTAACCTACTGATCTTAAAATAAATAGGGGTCATCTGTAAATGATAATCAACTTTCCTATCAACTTTAATGATCATAGGACAAAACATACTGAAGCTATGTTTTCTCTGAAAATCAGGACATAATGATCTTTATGATACATTAATATTTATACAAAATATATAAATGTAACGTATTTATACTGTACTTTCTTCAAACTGCAATATTAATATTAAAGTCTATTTAAACGCTATATTTGATATTCAATAAGTCACTTTCGTCAGGTTCACAATGAGCGAAAGGAAGATAGATGTCTCAGCTAATGTATAAACATTATGCAAATAAATGAAGATTAAATCATCTTAATGATTTAAAAAAATCAACCAAAACAAATTTAGTTTTCATAATATACGTCTACAAACTGCAAATTCAATTTAAACGCTAAATTTAATATTTTTACTTTCCTCTCGCTCTAAATTATCTGTGAGCGAAAGGAAGATCTCTGAACTTGTATGCAATATAGAAATTATGCAAATAATTTGATATTAAATCATCATAATCATTATTTTGGGGAAAAAAATATCAATTATTTATGGGCAATACGTCTACAAACTGCAAAATGATTATAAATTTCAATTTAAATACTATATTTGATATTTTATCACGTTCGTATTTTTCAGTGTGAGCGAAAGGAAGATCGCTGAACTTGAATATAAAAATCATGCAAATAAATGGGGTATAAATCATCATAATGATTATTTTTGACAATAAATATTATTAATTTCTGATAATATACGTCTACAAACTGCAATATTAGCATAAATTCCAATTTAAAAGCTTTTTTTGATATCTTATAAGTCACTTTCGTATTTTTCAATGTGAGCGAAAGGAAGATCTCAGAACTTGTGTATAGAAATTATGCAAATAAACGGCGATTAAATCAATATTAAGATTATTTTTGATAATAAATATAATAAATTTCTAATATTATTCGTCTGCAAACTGCAATATTAATGTAAAATTCTATTACAACTCTATAATTCATATTTTTAAAGTCACTTTCGCTCACTCTCGTGAATACTAAGAAAAAATGTTTCCCACCAACCTACCCTATTATATCAACAACAACAACAACACATCTTTTATTCACTCAAACATGCATACAACATGTAATATGAGGATAATGTCAAAATGTTTAACGAGGCATTTATACAAATTGAGATCAGACTATAATTACTAAACAATATCAACATATCTATTACATATTATTTAATTATATGCATATTTTGCCCTAGAAACTTTTTTTTAACTTCTTAAGAAAGTGCAAACCTGAATTTTACACCATTTTAATATTGCTTGAACAGAATGTAAGATATTTATTACTAGGAGAAAGTAGCTATAAATGTGATATAATTTGTCATAAAAGTTGTAAAATAAATAAAG